CAATATACAACTCTAATACAACAGGAGAATATAAATAATGTCTCAGATCTCTTCTTTACAGTTTACTGCGTCTTTTATGTGATTCTGACAACAGCATACTTTAGGTAGGACTACCAAGAATTTCATTACACTAAAAACAGTGTTGGAAATGAAAATCAGTTTTAAAAAATAATTTTATTAATTATTTTTATTTGATGTGTATGAGTGTATTGCCTGCATGTATCTGAGTGCATCCATGTCATGCAATGCTGTGGTCAGAAGAGGGCGTTGGATTCCCCTAGAACTAAAGGATGGTTTGTAGCCGCCATGGGGGTGCTGGGAATTGAACCTGGGTCTGCTGCAAAATGAGTCAGTGCTCATAACCACTGAGCTATCTCTCCAGCCCCGAAAATCAGTTTTTAACAATAAAAAATTATTTCCAATTATGAAAACAGAAATACAGACTATCCTCACAATTAAAAGAAACACTGGCTTCTGTTGTGATGAGACAGGGCTGCTAAATGCAGTGGTTATACAGGAAGATGCCTGGAAAGTTTACTTTTAGTCATAAAGAGATTAAACCAACAGCTTCCAAAATGGATGGCATAATTTGAGGGGGAAATATCAGTTCCTATCTAAAACAATGAAAATGGGACGAGAGCCAACAGTAGACAGGTTCCTGGATACTACCTGATACCACAGGGTAGCAGAAAGGAGTCCAAAGGAAGAAATATGTCACAAAGCACGAGAGGGACTTTGAGAAATATGTCCCACAGCAATTTAATCACTGAATGAATATTATAGAGAATTCCACAAACCCAGATGGAAGGTCAATGACTTGATGCCATATCTTGATGCAATCCAGAGAAGTGATAGTCCTGGTGTGGTGGTGCATACCTATAATCCCAGTACTCAGAAGGTTCAAACAAGAGGATCATGAATTCCAAGGCCAGAATGGGCTACACAGCAAGACCCTGCATAAAATAAATGAATAAACATCTAGAGATGCAACAAACTGGAGATACATGAGATTACCTGCCCTGTAATACAGCATACTGCTTTGTAGCAAACTTTTTAAACGTATGTAATGTTTTACCTGCATGTATGTAAGTGCTCCCTTGTGTAATGTCCATGGAGGCCACAAGAGGATGTTGAATCTCTTGGAACTGAAGTTATGGATGGTTGTTAGCCACCATGTTGTTGCTGAGAACCAAACCCAAGTCCTCTGCAAGAGCAGCCAGTGTTCTTAACCGCTGACCCATCTCACCAGCCCCTAGTAAACTTAAAAAAAAATTAAGTAGTAGACTCTAAAATAGTAAATACATAAACTATTAAGGGTCATTTATCATCATTATCAATATTGTGCATATTATACAATTGTATGTCCTTTATTTTTCTATCACTGGCAGTTCAGTAGATTTGCTTATGGTACCATTGTGGGAGACAGGCTTGAGCCTATGGTGAAAGTCTTAACGACAGCCATACAGCAGGCCCGAGGCAATGGCCCGACCACTGGAGCCACAAGAGATGCCTTGTGACATTTGCTCCCATTGGCAGATCATGAGACTGATGCCTAGAGCTCACCACTCCCTAATCACCACCCTTGGAATCCAAATTGCAACAATTAGATATTGCAACAGTTAGGGTCACATGATTTCCAGGAATCCAGGCTCTGTAATCTGAAACACAGTATGCTAATGAGGCATCCTACAGCTATTCTGTGATAGGATGATAAGTCTGTTATGCTAATAGGATGCTAAGTCTATTATGCTAATAAGGAATCCTACTTGCTGAACTGTGATTAGACCACTACCCCTATATAAGCTTGTGCCTTCCTGCAATAAACCAGACCTGTGTCACCGAACCTGGTCTCCTGCGTCTGAATGTGGTTCCACTGACACAGTCTCCTCACCAGCCCTGGGGTCCGGGACCTGGCAGAAGCGGCGATGACAGAAGATGGCACCAGGCGAGCAGAAGAGTGGCCTCAACCCAGGGCAAGCAGAAGAGTGGCCTCAGGCCTGGGTGAGCAGAGGAGCAGCCTCAACGCCCATGAAAACGAAGGAGCAGCACCCACAAGAACAGAGGAGCGGCCGCCTCTGGCAGTGACCGCATACTGTGAAACACATTGAGCAAAGCCTGAGCTGCATCACTAGGTGGTAAGAATTTTTCAGGGCCATTATAATCTGATGGGACCACCATCATATATATATATATATATATATACTTTATTCTACTTCAAATGTAAAGGAGTAATAGACTTTTGACCAAAACACTATTAATGTGGTGCATGCCTAGACATGCCAAATAAAAAGGCTGCATGTAAACGAGGTAAAGGGGAAGGAAGAGACTTTAAAGCTGAACATCTAACTTTAAGCTAGAAATTTATCTCACCTAAGTACTTAAGTGAGGTGCTTAAGAATTAAGTTACACAGTGTTTATGCAAAAACACTCCAAGAAAAGGAGGAAAGAGATGGGAGAAATAGAAACAGAAACGGGCTCTTACACAAATATAAAGTGCAATATAATAGAGCTTTATATGGTAATATTTCGGTGCTGAGGATTCAGTAAAAAGGGAGAACAGTTTCTGCTTGGTCTCTTTCAAAAGAGTAAAACTCATCCACAGAGACAGAAATTCTAGTGTATCTGACTGCAGTAAAGTCTGGCATTGGTGGGCTCCTCTAGCAGCAAATCCCATCCCCCATGAAGCAAGAGAACAGGCACTCTACACTGTTCAGATAAGGCAAAAGTAGAAAGATGTAGTGTGGGTAAACACATGTAAAGGAAGCTCTGGTTAAGTTCACAGGAAAGGCAGAACTTTCTCAAAAGTATGAACACGAAACAAGTGAAATCTTGGCTCACACTGGCACAAAGCTAGATTAATAGCAGACATGTGTCAGAGCCAGTAGGACCTGGAGAGGAATCTGGACGATCCTAATCAAAACCCAAACTTTTTCCTTGGCTAATGAATTTTAATTGAAGAACTTTGAACTTATAGTTATTGCCGATTGCACTTCTGCGCTATGTGGATACTGAGCACAATGAGACTTGCTTGCCATTTTACCATTTCCTTCTGCGTCTATTTCCTGCTCAGTGAAAGCATGACTTTAAAAAAGCTCAGCATGCTTTAAAAAATTTAAATTAGTATTATTTTTTGAACATGTCATACATTTATACAATGTATTTTGAACATATCTATCTACCACTAACTCCCCCCAACTCTCCCTGGTGCCTTCCACCCTGTCCCCCTCCCGATTTCATGCCCTCTTTTTGCAGTTATCAATAACCTAGAGTCCAATTTGTGGTACCTACATGCGCATGGGTGTGGATCCACTCACTGCATCAGGTCCCCTAGGAACCATCAACTGTCAATAGCTCCTCAGCTAAGGGTGGGACTTCAGGGCCCCTCCCCCATCCATTATGGAATTTTAACTGGCTTAAACTTTTGCAGGTCTTGCGCAGGTCACCACAGCTGCTGTGAGCTGGTATGTGCAATGGCTATGCCATGTCCAGAAACCAGCATTTCACAGCTCTTTTGTCCACCCTCTACTACTTATGCTGAACATTTTTTTGAGAATTTCATACAAGTACTGTATTTACACTGTTTCCACTCTTCTCCCCCTCTGACTCTTCCCATGTCCCTCTGCCCCATTCCTTCTCAATTTCATGTGACTACTTCTTTGATTATTGTTATATATACTTATTTATTATTTATATCTATTGAGTCCATTTAATGGTATTTGTGTGTACATGTATTTAGGGATGATCACTTGGAATTGGATAACCTATCAGGGAGTTCATCCCTGGAAAAAAATTTGATCCTCCCCACCCCCCAGCAGCCACTGATTACTTGTAACTCTTCATCTAGAAGTGGGACCTTGAGCACACTTCTTTTTAACACAAGACTGCTATAAAACCTTCTCACATTTGCTACTAGTTCAGAATGGATTGTGTACCTCATTAAAAGCAGAATCTTCCAACACTAGACTTTAAGGGCTGAGTTAGGTCTGAGTTAGTTAGGTTCTTAAGGGTGAAGGAAATGAATAAAAAAAAAAAAAACTATGAAGAGTAACATCTCAGGGTGACTTGGCTCTCTCATCTCTTTGTTGGTTGGAGGCTTGAGCCACAAAAAGATCTTTTAGCATTTAAAAACTCTCAAAACCTACAACTCCTTAGGACAAAATTCAGTAAGAAACGGGTATTTCAGCCAAACTTTCATAAGCTGTGATAACAATTTTTGCTCTTATAAAATGGACTTGCTGTGTGTCTTGAAAAATGATTCTAAGGCTAATATCAATAGATTATCATACAAAGCAATAGTTTTGATTTTGTTGACTAAAGTGAAGTCACAGACACTGCATAAAACAGGGAAAAGTGAGTTTTAGCATACTTTTTAATATGGAAAACAATAAATTGCTGTGTGTGGTTAATAATATTTTATTTACTATTAAGTATTACTTAATAGTAAAATGTTTCCTTGGTCTTTCTACTTTGAAATAAAAAATAATGGACAAAAATAAAGCACTTAACCATTTAAGTCACTCTTATTCTAGAAAGAATTTTATTTCAGTTCCACTTAAAAAATAAAAATTGTTTCTTTATCCCCACAATGAGCACATAAACCACATTTTCACATACAGGAAACTTACATTCAATTGTTTACAAGATATAATGCCGTATAACACATTTACATTCATATGAAGTATATGAACTTATTTAACTGTATATGGTGTGACACACACACACACACACACACACACACACACACACACATATATATATATATGATCCCTTTTAAAACAACCAACATGTAATATGCTTATTCTCTAAAAGTCTCCTCATAAGATGTG